ATTCAGTACCGTAGAACATTGCGGATCAATTGTGTTTTTAATTAGGGATTCGTATCGGTTTCGGCTACGCGTCACTCAAGTGCGAATTGGTTGTCGTAAAGTACTCAAATTGGAATCACACGAGAAAACTATTTTCAAAGATGCCCAGACGAGGAACCAAGGAAACTTCAAAGATAAAATTGCACGATAACTTGCATGCTTCCTTCTCTCCCAATCCCTTATCAGCTAGGTTAAAACCTAGACTGTTTTGCGTTTCTGTCTTCTTTTCCAGGGATCTGCTACTATAAGAAAAAAGGGCGTCTTCCGTTGGTTTGGCACGATATCCTGTGGTGAATTTATTCGGATTGTAACTGAAAAACCAGAAGCAAGATACAATAAAATCTTCCAATGACTGTGCTGCTTTCCTATTTTGCACACTCTGAGTGACCCCCACTTCTGTCAATTCCCGTCTAACAATCTGCAGGCTGCCTCTTGTTATTTTACTCACTGATTGTCGTATTTCCAATAATGCCACCATTCATCAGGTATATCGATTCTTGTTTCTCGTCCTACTTCCATCGACTTGCTCTTTTGAAGCATTCCACCATCTCAAACTGTAATGCAACGGACCAAGTCGATTAGTCACAACACGGACCCTGAGCAACACGTGGCACCGATGCGAAAACAGAACGCGCAACGCCTGGGAGCGAACGAAAAACTGTATTGATCGAGAGATTCATAACAAGCCGATAAAATTGATACAAAATCAATAACATCGAACAAGTAACTTTAAACAAGGGACGAATGTCAGTCATCGTTTACGGAACATTCCCGGCTTGCTGGGGCGCCCGGGCGAAGCCTGGAAGGGAAAGAGAGAGAGGGAGCTCGGTTTTAGGGAATGTATATAGCCCAATGCACTTTCGGTTCCATTACACTGTCCACCCTCTGGGACGGCACTGTCCTCAGTGCCCGTAACAACCGCTTCACCACCGTCGGGCCGGACTTCGACTGTCTGTTCCACAACTGGAAGCGCCCCCGGCGGTACAGGTTCCATTTCGGCTTCTGGGGCGTCTCTCGGCAGCGAGAAAGGTTTCAACTGATTGAAATGTACTGTTGTTGTTTCGTTATTTCGAGAGCCGATTTTGCGGANAGTCATTGTTTACGGAACATTCCTGGCTTGCTGGGGCGCCGGGCGAAGCCTGGAAGGGAAGGAGAGAGAGGGAACTCGGTTTTAGGGAATGTATATAGCCCAATGCACTTCCGGTTTCATTACAGAACCATTTTCTGCGACACCTTGTCCACTTTGTTTTCCATTTGTAATTATGCTTAATGCGACCTTCAAAGTTTTCCTCTTCGGCTTCTCA